CAAAGGAGTTTAGTGGAGTTTAACATATACATGTGAAAAGGCGGAGTTTATAGTAAACTCGGGATGTCGCCAGCATGAGCCGGATTATCTGGCTACCTGTCTAGTTGGTCAGTCCTTAACAGAACAATGAAGGTGGGTTAAGTTAAGGGGAGGGGGACCTAGAGGCATTCTTTTCATTCCAAGAACTGGGCTGGGTTGGAGCCAAGGTTTTTTTGTTTTTTTTCTATAATCCCTAAAACAAAAACAAAATCTGTAAAGAAGCTGTCCCAGCTAGAGTCTCCTCTCAGGGCCTAGTTCAAGTAGAGCTGTAGCTCAAAGTGGTAGAGTGCTAGCCTTGAGCACAAAAGCTAGAAACAGTACCCAGGCCCTGAGCTCAAACCCCACGACTGACAGAAAAAAGAAAGAAAATCCAAAAATTTTAAATTAAAATCTTAAAATTTTAAAAACTCAATTCTGCCCAGGCAGTGGTCGCTCACATCTGTAATCTTAGCTACTCAGGAGGCTGAGATCTGAGTGAGAATGAAACCAGACCAGGCAAGAAAGTCTGTGAGACTCCTGTTTCCAATTAACCACCAAAAGAGCCAGAAGTCAGCCTGGACAGGAAAGTCTGTGAGATTCATCTCCAGTTAACCAAGCCAAAAAGTGTAACTCAAGTGGAAGAGCATAAGCCTGGAGCACAAAAGGTCAAGGTCAGTGCCCAGGCCTTGAGTTCAAGCCCAGGACCAGCATACACACACACACACACACACACACACACTTTTACACACACACACACACACACACACACACACACACACACACACACACACACACACGGGAAACTGGGGCATAAGGATTTGCAGCTTGAGCTACATAGCAAATTTCAGTCCAAACACTATCTCGAAGGAAAAACATTAATTCCTATTCCTCTAAAATATAGTTATATCTCTCTAAAACCATGTTCGTCTCTTTCCAAGTGACTTAAAATATCATTTACAATTCCTAGAAATACCCACATCAAGGTTTTTTTTTCTTCTTTTTTTTTGGGGGGGGGGGTGTCTGGTCGTGGGGCCTGAACTCTGGGCCTGGGCACTGTCCCTCAGCTCTTCAGCTCAAGGCTAGCACTCTACCACTTGAGCCACAGTGCCACTTCCAGCTTTTTTTCTTTTTGCTTATGTGGTGCTGGGGAAGGCAAGGGCCCTACCACTGAGCCGCCTTCCCAAGCCCTCAAGGTATTTTTTTTGTACTAGGGATTGAACCTAGATCTTCTCACATGCTAAGTAGGTCCTCTTTTTCTGTTTTCCGTACCATTGGTCTAGTTTCCTATTCCTGCTACCACAGCACATCTTTTTTATATGGATACAATGTGGGGATCAAAATCAAGTACTTACTGGTGTTGCAGCTTACATCTGTAATCCCAGCTACTTGGGAAGCAGCAATCAGGAGGATTCCACTTTGAGGCCATCCCAGGCCAACAGTTCATAAGCCCCTATTTCAACCAATAAACTAGGTACAGAGGTGTGTACCTGTCATCCCAGCTTCAGAGAGGCTTCTAGATAGGAGAATTGGGGCATGAAGCCAGCATGGCAAAAACAGGAGACTGTAGCCGGGTGTTGGTGGCTCAGGTCTGTAATCCTAGCTACTCAAGAGGCTGAGATTTGAGGACCATGGTTCAAAACCAGCCTGGGCAGGAAAGTCTGTGAGACTCTTATCTCCAATAAACCACTCAGAAAGCCAGAAGTGGCTCTGTGGCTCAAGTGGTAGAGGGCTCACTTTGAGCTGAAGAGCTGAGGGATAGTGCCCAGGCTCAGAGTTCAAGCCCCACGATCGACCAACCCCCTTCCCTCCCCCCCCCCCCCCCCCCCCCCCCGCCAAAAACAAAAAACAAACAAACAGGAGACTCTGCATCATGTTTTAATGGTGACATTTTGTCATCTGGTAAAATGATGCCCTCCTCTTTCCTTTTGCTTTACAAAATTAACCATTCTTATATATTGAAGGCACCGTAGGAATTTTAACATCATCAGGTCTACAATTATGATTGGTTAATGCACTGATTTTTTTTTTTTTTTGGTTAGTCGTGGGGCTTGAACTCTGGGCCTGTGTACCGTCTCTGAGCTCTTCAGCTCAAGGCAAGCTCAAGGCAAGCACTCTTCCTCTTGAGCGACAGCACCATTTCCAGTTTTCTGGTGGTTAATTGGAGATAAGAGTCTCCTAGACTTTCCTGCCCACGCAGGCTTTGAACCATGATCCTCAGATCTCAGACTCCTGAGTAGCTAGGATTATAAGCATGAGCCACCAGTGCCTGGCCAATGCACTGATTTTTGAAAGATCATTTTGGGAAAGAAATGTAAGAATCTTTATTATTTAGAAGGTCCCTCATTCTACAAAATGATATGCATGTTTGCCAAATTAACTGACAGACATGAGAAACAGAATGCCAACATCAGAAAGTTGGCATTCTATTGGGCCAGGTGCTGGTGGCTCACCCTTGTAATCCTAGCTACTCAGGAGGCTGAGACCTGAGGATCACAGTTGGAAGCCAGCTTGGGCAGGGAGTCTGTGAGAATCTTTTTTTTTGGGGGGGGGGGTCCAGTCCTGGGCCTGAGCTCTAGGCCTGGGTGCTGTCCCTCAGCTCTGCAGCTCAAGGCTAGCACTGTACCACTTGAGCCACAGCGCCACCTCCAGCTTTTTTTTTCTGCTTATGTGGTGCTGAGGAATTGAACCCAGGGCCTCATGCACACAAGGCAAGCGCTGTACCACTGAGCCACCTTCCCAGCCCCTCTGTGAGAATCTTATCTCCATTAAACTACTCAGAAAACAGCTGGTAGAGCACTAGCCTTGAGCACAAAAAGGCTTAGAAACAGAGCCCAGACTCTGAGTTTAAGCCCCAATGCCAGGGAAAAAAAATAGAGAGAAAGAAAAGAAAAAAAAGGGCCGTCTGGCACCGGTGGCTCATGCCAGTATCGTAGCTACTCAGGAGGCTGAGATCCTGAGAATTGTACTTCAAAACCAGTCTGGGGATGAATAACACATGAAACTATCTGCAATTAACCAGCAAAAAGCCAGAAGCAGAACTGTGGCTCAAGTGGTAGAGTGCCAACCTTTAGTTTTAAAAAAAAAAAAAAGAGGGGCTGGGAAGGTGGCTCAGTGGTAGAGCGCTTGCCTTGCATGCATGAGGCCCTGAGTTCGATTCCTTAGCACCATATAACCAGAAGAAAAGCCGGAAGTGGTGCTATGGCTCAAGTGGTAGAGTGCTAGCCTTGAGCTGAAGAGCTGAGGGGACAGCGCTCAGGCCCAGAGTTCAGGCCCATGACCGGACCCCCCCCCCAAAAAAAGAGAGAGAGAGAGAGGGGGCTGGGAAGGTGGCTCAGTGGTAGAGCACTTGCCTTGCATGCATGAGGCCCTGGGTTCGATTCCTCAGCACTACATAAGCAGAAAAAAAAGCCAGAAGTGGCGCTGTGGCTCAAGTGGTAGAGCGTTAGCCTTGAGCTGAAGAGCTGAGGGACAGCGCCCAGGCCCAGAGTTCAGGCCCCACGACTGGACTGGAAGAAAGAAAGAAAGAACGAAAGAAAGAAAGAAAGAAAGAAAGAAAGAAAGAAAGAAAGAAAGAAAGAAAGAAAGAAAGAAAGAAAGAAAGAAAGAAAGAAAGAAAGAAAGGAAGAAAGAAAGGAAGAAAGGAAGGAAGAAAGGAAGGAAGAAAGAGAAAGGAAGAAAGGAAGAAAGAAAGAAAGGAAAGAAAGAAAGAAAGAAGAGGAAAGAGAAAGAAAAAAAAAAGCTCAACAAGAGGTCATGATTCAAGTCCTAGGACCAGTACAAAAAGAAAATAAAAGAAAGAAAGTGGATTCCCAGCAAAGTTTCTGGCTGTCCAATTGATGATGGGTTCCAGGGATTTTGGAAGAAGAGAAAGTTGCAGTACACGCATTGGAAGGGTATTGATGGGCCCCTCACTGTGTGCAAACCAGCTTGTATGTATGTGACATAGAGGTATCCAGTAAATGTTGAATCAGTGAACAAATGAGTGGATCAAGTCAGTTTTACAGAGTTTACTATATGACCAACAACCTACTAGCACTTTTCACAACCTAAGTTTTCACAACTTACCACTAATTGTCATTAAAACTATGTCAGACAGGTTATTATGAGCCCATTTGACAGACTAGGAAAGTGGAGGTTCAGCCAGAGGAGGTACCTTGCTCTATTTGATCCCAGTTCGTTGTGATTCCAGAAGTTATTCACCAAAGAATCAATCAGATCCAATTTCCCTCCGTCCAGTCATTCTCCATCTGTCAAAGATTCATAAAGCATCTATTTATTGCACAGCTCAATGACCAGAGTACAACTACTTTAGATAACATAGAACAGGCTGGGCTCTCTCAGGAAAACAAGCTCGGCGGCTAGAACGCGCGAACAGAATACGTAGGCTTGCCGGCCGGCACCTCCAGGGAATATAGTTACCGCGGGTTGCTCAGGTACGGCTCGGGCTGAGAAGCTAGCTAGATGGATTCGGGCTGTAGCACGGCCTTGGACGCCGATAATTCTGATGTGAGCCGAGAGGGGGCGCTGTTCCGCAACCAAAAGCCTGCCTGAAGACCGGCTGCTCGCAGTCTGGTCCTTACTACGCATGCGCAAACATACGCCGAGCGGCTCAATATTATCTTGCTGAGGGAAAACGTGAGGAGAGGGGGTGTGGCTCAGTGAGAGACGCAAACATGGAGGCGTGACTGAACCAACCTACCCTTTGCCTATTTGTCTCTACCGCTTAGGGTAAGGCTTAGGTGGCCACTTCTTTGAATAAAGGAGGGTCGAATCTAGGGTTCACTATACTTTGAGGGCGTGGTTGAAGGAGGGCCCTCAAATTTCTCTTCAGCGATAGGTCGTCTCTCAAGAGGCGTGGCTCGATGAGCTGTCCGTCCCCGGTGTGGTCACTTCCTGTGGAGTTTCCCCAACCCTGCGAGGAGGGGGAAGAGGACGGGGGTAGGGGGGGAGGAGGGCGGTCGTCCGGGGTTAGGTTGGGGGTGTAGGTCCGTTCTGGGCGGGGGATGACTCACAGCCCATCCCATCTCCCCGACGCCGCCCGCCCGCGCCGAGCTAGCTCCATGGCTTAGCGGAGGAGGCGGCGGCTAATGGGGGGAGGGGGACTCTTATTTTGTTAGGGGGACCGGGCCGAGGCCCGACCGGCCTGGCAGGGCTCGCCCGGGGCCGGGCGTCATGTCTCATGCAGCCGAACCAGCTCGGGACGGCGTAGAGGCCAGCGCGGAGGGCCCTCGAGCCGTATTCGTGCTGTTGGAGGAGCGCAGGCCGGCAGACTCAGCCCAGCTGCTCAGGTGCGGGACGCCTGGGGCCGGGAGTAGCAAAACTAGGGTTTCCGGGGGCCTCATCTGAGGGATCGAGGGTCCCGGATTGGGATTGGAGTTCTTTGGCCTAGAATTGGAGGATGTAGGGGCGCCCGTTTTGTTTGTGCGTGTGTGAGAGAGAGTGGGGGGGGGGGTTACCTAAGGAATCATGTTGTGGCCTGCTTGGGCTGAGACTTATAAGGAGTCGTGGGAGTGCTTCGAGGGGGCCAGGGTGAGATTTGAGGGAGGCCCGTTGGATAGGTCTAGAAAGGTAGATTCTGGAGTATGCCCAAACTGCTCTGAGGCAGCCAAACTTGAGGGTCCTTTAGTAGGGCATACGCGAAATGGATTTGAGAGGACGCTCCGGTGAGTCTGCCTTTGAGGAAATCGTAGAATCATTTTTCCCTCAGGGTAGGCGAAAGGGTCCTGAGAGAAAAACCGAGGTGCTGTTTTAGCTTGACTCCCGGTGACTGGTTGCTGTCTGGTGATAACGTGAACCTGGAGCGTTTTGGAAGTATCTCACGCCCTGAGTGTGTGTGAATGAGCCTGAGAAACAACATTCAACAAGACTTCACTAGAACACTCCTTTCACCGCTGCCCACCCATCGCGCTGGGGCCGATCTCTGGGATAGTGGAAAAGCTTGCCTTTCCTCTAGGAGTAGGGACTTGTAAGGGAGACCGCGAGTAGACCTGAGGGGGATGGAAGTACTGTTATCTTTTCAGCCCCGGGGGAAGGCCTCAGACCTTATTTGGGAACCTTAGAGGAGGGTCTTGTTCTTGCTGCCACTCACTCTATTCTCCAGAGTCAGCCCTGCCCACTCCCTACCCCCCCCCCCTCTTCCTTTTATTTCACTCTCCGGTTTTGTCTCTCAGTTCCCGGGTGTAATCTTGAATCTGTCTCCAGAGCTAGAGTGAGTACCGATTGCACCATCCCGGCCTGGGTGGGTCCTCTTGTCTGTCTGGCCTCTTAACCCTTCACTATCATCCACTCTGTGAACCTCTAGTCCTCCCTGTGCACACCCCCTGCCCACCCTACCACCCAACTTTTCCGACTTCTGTGCAATGGGTGGATGAGCATGGGAGGGGGTTTGTAGCCTCTTTTCTGCTCAGGATTGTGCTGAGCTCAGCCGCAGCGTTCCAGGAGCTTCCTCTTCCCAACTTCCTGGGTGGTTTTAGTGCCCCATCTGAGGGTGAGGAGAGAAAGGGAGACGGATTCTTGGGGAAGAGGGGAATGGAAACTTTTGCCAAGTGAAGCCACCCACAATTTTAGGATTCAAGAATAAGGATGCATACTTTTTCATTTTTATTTTTATTTTTTTCGTGCTGCGCTGGGGTTGGAACCCAGGACCTCTAGCATGCTAGGCAAGTGCTTTACCATCGAGCTCCATCACCCCCCCCCTCAGCAAAGATTCGCACTGAAGCACGTGCTTATGTTGCTTAAACACTAGGATCCTTTGTACCCAGCGTGGAGGGCTGAGTATAAGCCTTTCTATATATCTAATTCCTTGTAACAAGTTAAGCCATCATGGTAGTGGGTACAATTCAACTTATATAGTGTTTTTTTTTTTGTTTGTTTGTTTTGCTGTGCTGGGTATTGAACCCAGAGCCTCCTGGATGCTACCCAAGTGTTCTACTACAGAAGTGCATCTCCAGTTTCTGTATTTTTGTTCGTTTGATCGGGATTTTTGGTGTTCATTTTCTTTTTTGGTCTGAGACCGGAATTCTTTCTTGCTCATTGGCTAGCGCTCTACCAACTGAGCCACACCTCCAACCTGTTTTTTTTTAAAAATAATTTTATTACTATTAATGTGTTGTACAGAGGGGCTACCATTTCAAAACTCAGGTAATGTGTACTTTTTTTTGAAAATGTTACCCCCTTCCTTTACTTCCCCCCAGTTTTTCCCTCCCATCCCTGCTCATAAGTTACGCAGGTCATTTTCCATAGCGTATACTGAATCTGTTTGGGGTGTTTTTGAGACGAGGTTTCTGACCTTAAGCTCTCTGTGTAGCTCTGGCCACTTCAAAGTTGATTATTGTCCCTTCCCCTCCCCCCAATACTGGGGATATGTGGCTTCTTAGTTCTTGTGCCAGTAACTGTTGGTACTGGGGACTTGTGTGTTTTGATCTAAACAAAAACTAGGGGAGGGCTGAGCAGGTTTCGCCTACTAAGGGAAGAATACTTGTAGAAGGCAGACATCCACTCAAATTCTGTCTTGCAAGAACAGACTGTTGGAGACTGGATTGCATTTGTATTTCTGTATTCTCTTTTGAGCGGTGTCCCTAGAACTCAAGCTGGAGCTGGGAAAAACTCATTTTCCAAATGGTAGCTCTTTTTGTGAAGTGAACCAACCATAGTTCTCTTTGTGATGCGCTTAGTTTGGGTTACAATGGGCTGTTTGCCTGAGGACTGCCCCTACTAGCTCTGTGTGTTTACACACACGGGTTCACATTCAGCTGTGAGGAAAACAGTAGGTCTGGGGGGAGCTGGGAGTATTTTGAATGCAAAGTGGGAGAATCCTCCCAAAGTCTTCTGTTCTCCTCAAACTCAGATTGTTGCATGTGATAAGAGTGAGGGGTTGGGATTCTGGAGTTCTTATTGTTTAGATTCTGGGTGACTGAATGGAGTTAAGAAAAGGGGGAGGGGGAGGGGACAGATGTGGGAACTCCTGGAGGTGGTACCCAGCAGGGTGGCCAAGTATGGATGAGAGATCACACACACACACACACACACACACACACACACACACACACACACACTTCTCTGATGAAGGGAAGTATTAGGGCTCTCCACAGTAATTGACCACTACTCCTTCCTCAGCAGGGTGGCCAAGTATGGATGAGAGATCACACACACACACACACACACCCTTCTCTGATGAAGGGAAGTATTAGGGCTCTCCACAGTAATTGACCACTACTCCTTCCTCCCTTCCCCCCACAGCCTGAACTCTTTGCTTCCGGAATCCGGGATTGTTGCTGACATTGAATTAGAAAACATCCTTGATCCGGACAGCTTCTACGAACTCAAAAGCCAACCCTTATCCCTCCGATCCAGGTAAGACTCATCATATTCTCCTCCTGCTCCCCACTCCCACTGGAAGTGATGGGCAGAAGCCCTCAGTGCCTGCCCATTCTATGCTCTCAGAGACCTGTATTTTCTGGATGGTAAAATGAGGAGCCAGAAAGAGTGTCACACAGGAAAGCTGGTGGGCAGCCAAGATGTCTCCCACCAGTCCTGCCTTGAAGACCTTGACTTCCCTCATTGCACTTGCATACCTATTCATACACAACTCTGTAGGGACTAGGTGTGGCTTATGTGAATCCCTTCCTGTGGGTGGAGCCATGCCCTTAATCCCTATCCCCCACCCCCACCCTCTCCACATTCTACAATCCTTGCCCACCCTCAGTTTAGAGAAACCCTTGCCTGGTCTCTTGTTTCTGCCCCCAAAGCTTGGAAGTGTAAAGGTGCTGAGTCATCGGCCTGGGCTCTAAGACAGGGGAGGGGATGTGGAAGAGGGGCAGGAAGAGAGGATTGTGAAATCTGAGATTTTCTAGACTGACTAGCTACTGGCACCAGAGGCCTAGGCTTCAAGGAAGGGTGTCCTGGGGCTCCCCTGGAACCTGATGCCCAGCTCTTAGCTCAGACAGCATCACCAGTTCCAAATTGGGCTCAGGAGTGCTCTGAAACCACAATCTACTACCACTTCTGCACCTTTAAAGATGCCTCGTACTTGCCAGATGCAGGTGGTTCACACCTATAATCCTAGCTACTCAGAAGGCTGAGATCTAAGGATTGCTGTTCAAAGCCAGTTTGGGCAGGAAAGTTCAGGAGATTCTTTTTTTTTGGGGGGGGGGGTCTGGTCGTGGGGCCTGAACTCTGGGCCTGGGCGCTGTCCCTCAGCTCTTCAGCTCAAGGCTAGCGCTCTACCACTTGAGCCACAGCGCCACTTCCGGCTTTTTTCTTTTTGCTTATGTGGTGCTGAGGAATCGAACCCAGGGCCTCATGCATGCAAGGCAAGCGCTCTACCACTGAGCCACCTTCCCAGCCCTCAGGAGATTCTTATCCCCAAAAGAGCCAGAAGTAGTAGAGCTAGCATTGAGGAAAAGAAGCTCAGGGATAGTTCCCAGGTGGTGAGTTCAAGCCCCAGGACCAGCACACACAAAAAAGATGCCGTTTGCTAACTCCACTTAGTGATGAACTAGCTCCCTCTGAGATTTCTCCATTAGGACTTAGGGCTGAAAGTCTCTTGCCTAGATCTGGTCCCAGAAACTCCCACAACAGATTATATGACCAGTAAGGTACCAGTAATTCAAGCCTATAAGTAATCCTAGCTACTCAGAAGGCTGAGAACTGAAGATCCAGGTTCAAAGCTAGCCCAATCAGGAAAATCCAGGATACTCTCACCACCATCTGTCTATCAAAAAGCCAGAAGTGGAGGTGTGGCTCAAGTGGTACAATGCCATCAGTGAGTGATAAAAGCTAAGGGACAGTGTCCAGACAGTGTGGACACAAAATATGGCAATGCCTCTCCTGTAACATTGTCAAGACAGGGAACAAGTGATTGCTGGGTCTCCTCCCACATACTGTGACTCTGTTAAGCTTAGGAAGTGAGCTCTAGCTTACATGTGGCCCCATATTTCCCATTCCACAGCCTCCCAATATCACTGCAGGCCACACCAGCCACCCCAGCTACACTCTCTGCATCGTCTTCTGCAGGGGGCTCCAGGACCCCTACCATGTCATCATCTTCCTCATCGAGGGTTTTGCTGCGGCAGCAGCTCATGCGGGCCCAGGCACAGGAGCAAGAGAGGCGTGAGCGTCGGGAACAGGCCGCAGCCGCTTCCTTCCCCAATCCTGCACCTGCTTCACCTGCCATCTCCGTGGTTGGCGTTACTGCAGGGGGCCACACTTTGGGCCGGCCACCCCCTGCTCAGGTGCCCAGGGAGGTCCTCAAGGTAAGGTGAAGTCTGATGGCCTGTGGGCATGTTGGTTTTTCTTTTCTTTTTCTTGGTATCTTTTGAATGAGGCCTTCATGACTCCAGGTATGTCTTTGATAGTGTTTTAAGTGCTCTGTGCAACTCTCCCATGTGTTTGTTTTCTTAGGACTTGCTAGGGGTTCTAGGAGGCCCCAAAGGATGTCGTGCTGGACCTCGGAGGGTCATGTTAAGGTGTCTTGGGAAGCTATGTGTATTACTTTATAGATCCTTTAGGTGCTATCAGAGACTATGGAAGTCTGGGGAGTGGTGCATTGGTGGTTCAAGTCTTTAATCCTAGCTCCTCAGGAGTCTTGAGATCTGAAGATCTAGGTTCAAAGCCAACCTAGGCAGGAAAGTCCATGAGACTCTTATCTCCAGTTAACCAGCAAAAAGCCAGAAGTGGAGCTATGGCTCAAGTGATAGAGTGCCAGCCTTGAGCAAAAAAGACCAAGGGCAAGTGTGAGGCCCTGAGTTCAAGTGCCAGGACCAGCATAAAAGAAGAGACAGACAAGAGAAGAGATGACATTGTCCAAAAAGAAATGTACTCATACCGGGCGCTGGCTCACGCCTATAATCCTAGCTACTCAGGAGGCTGAGATCTGAGGATTGTGGTTCAAAGCCAGCCCGGGCAGCAAAGTCCGAAAGACTCTTTTCTCCAATTAACCACAAGAAAACCGGAAGGGGTTCTGTGGCTCAAAGTGGTAGAGCACTAGCCTTGAGCTGAAGAGTTCAGGGACAGCTCCCAGGCCCAGAGTTCAAGCCCCATGACCAACTGGCAAAAAAAAAAAAAAAAAAAACTGGGCGCTGGTGGCTCACACCTGTAATCCTAGCTACCTAGCTACTCAGGAGGCTGAGATCTGAGGATTGCCATTCAAAGCCAGCCTGGACAAGAAAGTCCATGAGACTCTTATCTCCAATAAATAAAACTACCAGAAAGGGCTGGGAAGGTGGCTCAGTGGTAGAGTGCTTGCCTTATATGCATGAGGCCCTGGGTTCGATTCCTCAGCACCATATAAGCAGAAAAAGCCAGAAGTGGCACTATGGCTCAAGTGGTAGAGTGCTAGCTTTGAGCTGAAGAGCTGAGGGACAGTGTTCAGGCCCCACGACTGATTAAAAAAAAAGAAAAAGAAAAACCACCAGAAAACCCGAAGTGGCACTGTGACTCAAGTGTTAGAGCACTTGCCTTGAGCTGAAAAGCTGAGGGACAGTGCCCAGGCCCAGAGTTCAGGCCCCAAGACCAACAAATAAATAAGTAGGAAAAGAAAAAAAAAGGGCTGGGAATGTGGCTCAGCAGTAGAGTGCTCACCTAGCATGCATGAAGCCCTGGGTTCAATTCCTCAGTACCACATACACAGAAAAAGCCAGAAGTGGCGCTTGTGGCTCAAGTGGGAGAGTGCTAGCCTTGAGCAAAAGCAGTTTAGGGACAGTGCCCAGGCCCTGAGTTCAAGGGCAGGAGTGGCAAAAGAAAAAGAAAAAAAGAATGAAAAAAAAGTACTGATTACCTGACTTATGAAAACTGTACCCCTCTGTACATCAACTTTATAATGACAATTTAAAAAGTGAGAGAGAGATAGCTGAGCACTGGTGGCTCATACCTATAATCCTATCTACCAAGGAGGCTGAGATCTGAGGATCATGGTTCAAAGCCAGCCCAAGCAGGAAAGTCTGTGAGACTCTTAACTCCAAGTAACTACCAGGAAATCCGGAAGTGGAGCTGTGGCTCAATAGGCGGAGCACTAACATCGAACACAAAAGCTCAGGGACAGCGTCCAGGCCCTGAATTCAAGCCCCAGGACTAGTACAGAGAGAGAGAGAGAGAGAGAGAGAGTGCTTTGGGCACTGTGACAATGTGCCTCTAGAAAGAGAGAGAGAGAGAGTGCTTTGGGCACTGTGACAATGTGCCTCTAGAATCAGATCCTGTCAGCCATAGGTAGATCTTGGGGGTGAAGGATTTTTGAGAAAAGGAGATTGGGTCATTGAAGAAATTCACCAGTATTTTTGAGGGGTTCTCATATTCTGGGCCCAGTTTGCCCTACAAGAGCCTACGAAGAGAAGAAGCAAGGATCAGTTAAGGATCACAGATGAACAAGAATTACCTCTGTGAATCCTGTTCTACCTTCTCCCCTTCCCACCACGGCCCTATTATCTAACAGGTGCAGACCCACCTGGAAAACCCAACGCGCTACCACCTGCAACAAGCACGCCGGCAGCAGGTAAAACAGTACCTGTCCACCACACTTGGGCCCAAGCTGGCTTCCCAGGCTCTCACACCACCTCCGGGGCCTGCAAGTGCCCAACCATTGCCTGCTCCTGAGGCTACTCATGCCACTGGCCCCACAGGCAGTGCTCCCAACAGCCCCATGGCTCTGCTCACCATCGGGTCCAGCTCAGAAAAGGAGGTAAGAGGCTATAGACAACATTCTCATGTCTCCATTCCGGTTTTTTTTGTGCCTTTTCTAGGTTTGAACTCAAGGCCTGGATGCTTTTCCTGAACTTTTTTCCTCAAAGCTGGCACTCTACCACTTGAGACATATCTCCGCTTCTGACTTTTTGGTGGTTAATTGGAGATAAGAGTCTCGTGGACTTTCCTGCTTGGGTTGGTTTCAAACCGCAGTCCTTGGATCTCAGCCTTCTGAGTGGCTAGGGTTACAGGCATGAGCCATTGGTGTCTGGCTCAATTTTTGTGTATGTGTGTGTGTGTGTGTGTTACTGGGGATGAAAGTGTGTGTGTATGTGTGTGTGTGGTACTGGGGATGAAACTCAGCACCTTACACACGCTCCTATGCTATACCGTCAACCTCTCCTTTTTCTAACCCAGTCTATTTATTCCATTAGATTGATGATGTCATTGATGAGATCATCAGCCTGGAGTCCAGTTACAATGATGAGATGCTCAGCTATCTTCCCGGAGGCACTACAGGACTACAGCTCCCCAGCACGGTAAGGCCCTGAGATGATGGGTTTCTCTGATAATGAGGGCATCATTCTATCAAGACTATACCTGTGTTGGCTATGTAGATATGTGACACTGTTGCGGTGGATTGTACTAAGAGGGAGAGAGGCCTTATGTTGAGAATGGAGTGTGCCATTGCACACTCCATTGAGAAGAAGCTTTTGTAGAATTTAATGTGGATGGGGTACGGAGTTCATGGAGATATAAGGACATACTAAACCACTTGAGTTGTGCTGTGAGAAGTACCAAGAGGTAGGAATCATGTAGCAATTTGAATATCCCAGGGGATTTTTCTGGTTATGGAGATATACCCAGATCATGTAATAATTGGAACATGCCAAAAGGCTCAAGGTTTATGGGCTAAAACAAGTTGACTGGGTTGTGAACTGGTGGCTCACACTTGTAATCTTAGCTACTTAGGAGGTTGAGATCTATGGATTCCAGTTCAAAGCAAGCTCAGGCAGAAAAGTCTATGAGAATCTTATTTCCAGTTAACCAGCAAAAAGCCAGAAATGGAGCTCTGGCTCAAATGGTGGAGCACCAGGCTTGACAAGGCTAAATGAGAACCTGAGACCGTGATTTCAAGCCCTAGTACCAACAGAAATAAGGTTGGACCTTATATTAACTAGATTCTACCAAGTCTTACAATGAACTATAAGGACTGGGACTGGTTCCTTGTAGAAAGGGTATAAAATTTTCTACAGTGAGGGAGTGTCATTATAAAGTTTTTTTTTTTTTTGGTGCCAGTCCTGGAGCTTGAACTCAGGGTATGGGCACTGTCACTGAGCTTTTTGCTCAAGGCTAGCACTTTACTACTTGAACTATAGCTCCACTTCCAGGTTTTTGCTGGCTATTTGGAAATAAGAATGTCATAGACTTTCCTGCCCAGGTTGGCTTCTAACTGCAATCCTCAGATCTCAGCCTCCTTAGTAATTAGAATTACAGGCATGAGCCACCAGTGTCTGGCTAAGTTATGTGTTTCTGTTTGCTAGTCCTTGTGCTTGAATTCAGGACAATGTCTCTGAGCTTCTTTTGCTTAAGGCTAATGCTCTAAGCTACAATTTCACTTGCATCTTCTTTGGTAGCTTATTGTAGATAAGAATCTCATGGGGGCTGGGAATGTGGCTTAGTGCTAGAGTGTTTCTGTAGTATGCATGAAGCCTTGGGTTTGATTCCTCAGTACCACATAAACAGAAAAAAGGTAGAAGTGGTGCTGAGGCTCAAGTAGAGTGCTAGTCTTGAGCAAAAAGAAGCTCAGGGACAGTGCCCAGGCCCTGAGTGCAAGCCCCAGGATTGGCAAAAAATAAAATAGATAAGAATCTCATGGACTTTTCCTCCCCAGGCGGGCTTTGAACCATGATCTTCTCAGCCCCCTGAGTAGCTAGGATTACAGGCATAAGCCACCAGAAATAAAGTTCTGAATTTAAAGAGTGTCATAACTTGGCTGGGAATGTAGCTTAGTGGTAGAGTGCTTGCCTAGCATGCATGAAGCCCTGGGTTTGATTCCTCAGTACCACATAAACAGAAAAGGCCAGACGTGGTGCTGTGGCTCAAGTGGTTGAGTGCTAGTGTTGAGCAAAAGAAGCTTAGGGACAATGCCTAGGCCCTGAGTTCAAGCCCCAGGACTGGCAAAAAATAAATAAGCTGGGTGCCGATGGCTCACACCTGTAATCCTAGCTACTCAAGAGGCTGAGATTGGAGGATCATGATTCAAAGCCAGCCCAGGCAGGAAAGTCCATGAGACTCTTATCTCAAATAAACCACTAGAATACCCAAAGTGGTACTGTGGCTCAAGTGGTAGAGCACTCTCCTTGAGCTGAAGAGCTGTGGAACAGCACCCAGGCCCAGAGTTCAAGCCCCACAACTAAATAAGTAAATAAATAAATAAATAGTTGTATTCATCCTGGAGCTTGTGGCTCACACCTGTAATCCTAGCAACTCAGGAGGCTGAAATCTCAGGATCACAGTTCAAAGCCAGCCTGGACAGGAAAGCCCATGAGACTCCAGTTAACCACAGAAAGCCACAAGTAGCACTGTGGCTCAACATGGAGCACTATCCTTGAGCAAAAATGCTCAAGGACAGCACCTGGGCCCTGAGCTCAAGCCCCACAACCAACAACAACAAAAAAGTATCCATTTGGGGCTAGGGATGTAGCAAGCAAATGCTTGTGCAGTGTTTGTTCTGTGCAAGGCTTTGGTTTCTGTCATCAGCTCTCAAAAAAAAACTGGTACCAGCTTATCAAAACTTTATATTGATTTGGACATAGCTAGAGATTAAGATCTTATATATTGGAAGTGGCGCTGTAGCTCAAGTGGTAGAGTGCTTGCCTTGAGCTTAAAAGCTGAGGGACAGCGCCCAGGCCCAGAGTTCAAGCCCCATGACCGACAAAAAAAAAAAAAAAAAAGATCTTATATATTAGGTAGATCCAGAAGATTAAAGGATGTTTCAAGACATAATCTATCAAGAGGTACATCTTGGCACACACATATATTATTGTATTGTATTAGAAAATATCCAGGATAGTGTGGAGAGGGAAAAAAACAAACAAACAAACTAGTCTAACATTTTTTAAGTGCTAGTTGTTGGATAAGAACTCTTGGGAGATCAGAATGTGCTGGAAGACAGTAGAGTCTGGACCTTGGTACATGGCCAATGAGAGACCATACATAAGGTAGTACAACTTGATCATAGCGGAAGGGTACAGATTAGGTTAGAACTCTTCAGAAGGGCAGATTTTGGATAAAATGTTGCCATGACAATTTACCAAGGTCTGAGAAGATTGGGTTGGAGTGTTCCAAGAAATTGGATCGGAATGTTGAGCTGGGAGGAGCTAATGGACTGGAATGTCACATCAGAGCCGACAGAGACCTGAGAAGGATGCCTTTCCAGTATTGCTTCTCAGAGCTAGCCCTGGGATTCAGAATAGGGACTTCGGAGGCCACTGAAGGGTTTGAGGGCTAGGTGGTGGGGGTGATAGGCATGTCACATATGCATCAATCCTCACAAAGCAAACAAGGTCCACTTTGCTCTATGACTTCAGTTGAGTTGCCATGTGAAGTTGCCTCAAAGAAGGAGAGTCCCGAGGAATCATCCAGTCCTTGGGTTAGAAGGCCCTCATCTTTGGGTGTTTACAGGGTCAGAATCCTGGTTGTGAGAAAAGTAGATTAGGGACTGTTCTCAACTATTATTTCTGTGTCTTTACTACCTCCAGCTGCCTGTGTCAGGAAATCTCCTGGATGTCTACAACAGTCAGAGTGTAGCTACGCCAGCCATCACTGTAAGTAACTCCTGTCCAGCTGAGCTGCCCAACATCAAACGGGAGATCTCTGGTAAGTACTCAGTGAGGGGGGAGGGGAGGTACTTTATATCCCATGTCACACTCTGTCTTTAGCCTACCAGGTCTGAAATTTGGGCATTACAGAAAAGAGCTGAGGCTGGGGTAAGACTCAGTGCTAAAGCAACTGCTTAGCATGTACAAGACCTTGGAATCCATTCCCAGCACCATAAAATAGAAAAAGAGAAAAAAATTGTTGGGTACCATCTGAGGCTCACACCTATAATCCTAGCTACTCAGAAGACCGAGGTCTGAGAATCACAGTTATGAAGCCAATCCAGGAAAGAAAAGTCCCTGAGACTCTTATCTCCAACTAACTCATAAAAAGTTAGATGTTGGGGTTTGGCTTAAGTGGTTGAATGAAAAAAGCTAAAGGAAAGCATCCTGGCCCTGAGTTTATGTCCAAGTACCAGCATGCACACATGTACACACAAAAAAATTGGGTTGTTTCCTCTTTTTTCCATTATGGCTTATGGTCTTGCTCCTTACTTCCTTTCTTCTTGGGTTTAATAATTAGCCTGTGTCACCATGGATTTGTAAAAACAAAAAAGTAGTTTAAAAATATACTTTTTTTTTTTGCCAGTCCTGGGGGGGCTGAACTCTGGGCACTGTCCCTGAGCTTCTTTTTGCTCATGGCTAGTGCTCTACTAGTTGAGCCATTGCACCACTTCTGGCTTTTTCTGAGCAGTTTATTGGAAATAAGAGTCTCACAGACTTTCCTGCCCAGACTGACTTCAAAGCTTGATCCTCATATCTTAGCCTCCTGAGTAAGTAGGATTACAAGCATGAGCCACTAGTGCCTGGGTTACCTTTAAAAAGTCTGGGCATGGTTGTGGTGCACACCTGTAATCCCAGCAGAGACAGGAGGATTGCAAGTTCAAGGCCACCCTGAGTTATGTATTGAGACTTCATCTAAAAAAAGTCACTTTAAAGCAAGATGGGGCTCTAGGTAATTACATGCTGGTAATCTTTTAAGCTACTCTGAAGACTGAGATATGAGAGTGGCAATTTGAAGCTAGCCCAGGCATATAAATCTGAGAGACTCATCTCCATTTACCCAGCAAAAAGCCAGAAGTGGAGGTATGGCTCAAGTATTAGAGTGTTAGCCTTGATCAGAAAAAGCCAAAGAGAATGTGAGGCCCTGAGTTCAAGCCCTAGTACCAGAACACACACACAAAAAGTCATTTCAGTCCAGGCTCTATAGTACACCACCAGCCTGTGCCTCTGCATTCACACAGGCTCCCTCCTTTCCAGAGGTCTTAACCACCCCTGTTGTTTTCCAGAAACAGAGGCAAAGGCCCTTTTGAAGGAACGGCAGAAGAAAGACAATCACAACTTAAGTAAGTCTGAGAGCATGTATACTGGCCTATGTACTCTACAGCACTGCTTTGCTCATTGCTTTGAGTCTTTACTTTGTCCTTGGGGAATCCCCTCCTTACAATAGCCTCCTAGCACCCGTTTCTTTCTCCCTTCCCCCATTGATGATTCTTTTTTTTTTTTTTTTTTTTTGTCGGTCATGGGGCTTGAACTCTGGGTCTGGGCGCTGTCCCTCAGCTCTTCAGCTTAAGGCGAGCGCTCTACCACTTGAGCTACAGTGCCACTTCCGGTTTTCTGGTGGTTTATTGGAGATAGGAGTCTCACGGTCTCTCCTGCCCGGGCTGGCTTTGAACCGCAATCCTCAGATCTCAGCCTCCTGAGTAGCTAGGATTACAGGCGTGAGCCACCAGCGCCCGGCTTCCATTGATGATTCTTTCCTACTCTTTTTTTTCTCTCCCCCTGCCTCCAAAGTTGAGCGTCGGAGGCGATTCAACATTAACGATAGGATCAAGGAACTGGGCACACTCATCCCCAAATCCAACGACCCGTGAGTCTGGGCTGGGGGCCCATGGGAGGTGTGGGGTATATGCCCTATGCCAGGGAAGTTATTTCTTGGTGAGTCCATCAGACATGCCTTGCCTTCGCAAGAGTTCTTTGGTCTCTACTTAACTTGAGCAGGGTTTCAGACCATGTATCCCTGTCTCAAATTTAAATGCATGAGGTTATGGACATTTCTACCTAGTTTTCCATTCATTTAGCATGCACTTTATTTCCTCAAGATTTATTTCTTGAAACCTGGCACCAGGGGCTCATGCCTGTCATCCTAGCTACTCAGGAAGCTGAGATCTGAGGATTGAGGCTCAGAGCCAGTTGGTTGGGGCAGCCAAATTTTGAGAGACTCTATCTCCAATTAACCAGCCAAAAGCTGGAACTAGAGAGGTAGCTTAAGTGATAGATTACCAGCCTTAAGCAAAGAAAAAAGCTTAGGAAGAGCTTGGGGTTCTAAGTTCAAACCCCAATATCAGCACAAAGAAAAAAAAACATGACGTATTTATTGAGTCTTGGCTTTTTGCCGGATACTTTGGGAGGCTTTGAGGATACCAGAGAGAACAAAAAAGACAAAGATCTTTGTCCTCTTGGAATGGACGTTTTGGTGGAGGAAGACAGGCAATTAATGTGATAAGTAAAATCCAGTTGGGTGTAGGTAGCTCATTCCTGCAATCCTAGCTACTTAGGAAGTTGAAATTTGGAGTTTATCAGTTCAAGGACAGCCCTGAAAGAAATCTCCAAAATAAACAAATGGAGTAGTAGCTAAAAGATTAAAGAGTGGCAGCCTGAGAAAGCAAGCTGAGGAAGTAGGCCAAGTTCAGACTCCATTACTGCAAAAAAGAAAATCTGTGAGATCCATAGGATGGAGTTGGGGGTGCAGCTTAGTGGAAGAGCCCTTGCCTAGCATGTGCAAGGTACTGGGTCCCATCTCCAGCTCTGTCTGCAAAACAGAGAGCAAGAGCAAAAGAGCTAAGCTACATGGATGTCTAAAGGAAAAGTATTCTGCTTACAGGTGCAGCTGGAATAGAGGCCCTGAAATGAGAATGCTTTTCTATGTTTTAGAAGCACTGACAGGCCATTGTGGCTATAGTGAGATGAATCAGAGGGACATATATACCAGAGGAATCAGAAGGGGTCAGATCACAGGGCATCCAGGGCTCAGGGTGTGATGGCCACTACTAGAAGATTCCAGGCATCCTATATCCTTAATGTCCACCTCCCATTTCAAGTTCTGGATTACCTGGCACAGTTCCCCCCCAAACCCCGCCCCCACCTGCTGCTCTGAGACTCCACTCGCAGCACTTCCCGTTTTTCTTCCCTGGAGCCCCACAGGGAGATGCGCTGGAACAAAGGCACCATCCTGAAGGCCTCTGTAGATTACATCCGAAAGCTACAGAAGGAGCAACAGCGCTCTAAAGACCTGGAGAGCCGACAGAGATCCCTGGAGCAGGCCAACCGTAGCCTGCAGCTCCGGATTCAGGTCTGGAAGGAGGAGACAATGGCAGGGCTGATGGGCTGGTTTTCTGCAGGTGGAGGCAAAGGAAGAATAGGCCAGAAGAGATTCCTTTATTGTCAGACTTAAAAGATCCCCATGTTTTCCTAACTTCCATGATTATTGTTATGATGATAAGGATAATATCATTAAACCTGGTGCAGGTGGCTCACCCTGATAATCTTAGCTATTCAGGAGGTTGAGATATATCTATCTGTATGTATGTATACATAGAGAGAGAGAGGGAGGTGGGGATATAGTGTGTGTGAATGGCCAGGAGCTGGTGGCTCATGCCTGTAATCCTAACTACTCAGGAGGCTGAGTAGCTGTGATCCTTAGATTGCAGTTCAGAGCCCGGCCCAGGCAGGAAATTCCATGACACTTTTTTTTTTTGTCAGTCCTGGGACTTGCATTCTGGGCCTGAGTGCTTGTCCCTCAGCTCTTCAGCTCAAGGCTAGCGCTTTACCACTTAAGCTACAGCACCACTTCCTGTTGGTTTGTTTGTCGGTTGTGGGACTTGAACTCTGGGCTTGGGCGCTGTCCCTCTGCTCTTCAGCTAAAGGCGAGCGCTCTACCACTTGAGCCAGTACCACTTCTGTTTTTCTAGTGGTTTATTGGACATAAGAGTCTCGGTACTGGGAAGGTGGCTCCGTGGTAGAGTGCTTGCCTTGCATGCATGAGGCCCTGGGTTCGATTTCTCTGTACCTCATAAGCAGAAAAAGCCAGAAATGGTGCTATGGCTCAAGTGGTAGAGCGCTACCTTTGAGCTGAAGAACTCAGGGACAGCGCCCAGGCCCAGAGTTCAGGCCACACAAATGACAAAAAAAAGAGTCTCACTGACTTTCCTGTCTGGGCTGGCTTTGAATTGTGATCCTCAGATCTCAGCCTCTTGAGTAGCTAGGATTACAGGCATGAGCTACCGGCACCCAGCTTCCATGACATTCTATATCTCCAGTTAACCACCAGAAAAACTGAAGTAAAGAGTGCTAACCTCAAGCAGAAGAGCTAGGGGCAGTGTCCAGGCCTTGAGCTCAAGCTCCATGACCAAAAAAAAAAAAAAAAAGAATACTAGTGAATGATAGCTAATGTTTATCTTGTACCATAAACTGTGACATGAGCTTTGTAGCTCATTAGATCCTCACATATTAAATAGGGAGTGTTAACAGTCTCTACGGATTGTAAAGGTCCACGACTAGCAAGTGGCTAAGGCTGAATTGGAACCCAGACACCCTTCCCTTTTAACAGTATCCTTTTTGACCTCTGAGAGACTTTGAATCCCATTTAATTTTGTACCCATCCTTTATTCTTTTGGCAGGAGTTAGAACTGCAGGCCCAGATCCACGGTCTGCCAGTACCTCCCACCCCAGGGCTGCTTTCCCTGGCCACAACTTCGACATCTGACAGCCTCAAGCCAGAGCAGCTGGACATTGAGGAAGAGGGCAGATCAAGTGCAGCCACATTTCATGTTGGAGGAGGACCTGCCCAGAGTGCTGTCCATCAGCAGCCCCCAGCACCGCCTTCTGATTCACTTCTGGACCTGCACTTTCCCAGTGACCACTTGGGGGACCTGGGAGACCCATTCCACCTGGGGCTGGAGGACATTCTGATGGAGGAGGAGGAGGGGGTGGTGGGAGGACTATCTGGTGTTGCTCTGTCCCCTCTGCGGGCTACCTCTGATCCCTTGCTCTCTTCTGTATCCCCGGCTGTCTCCAAGGCTAGTAGCCGCCGCAGCAGCTTCAGCATGGAGGAAGAGTCCTGATAAGGCCTCACCTCTCCCCTGGGACCCCATTATACCCCACCCCCACCTAGGCACTGAGGACAAGCCAGGGTGAGGTCCTGCCTTCCCCCCCCCTACTTTCCCATGAGATTGCCCTGCCCAGGAATTCTGGGGGAAGAGGTGATGTGATTGATCAGGCCCCAACCCTATAATAAACAAGGAGGAGGAATCAGATGAGAACCTGCCCCTGTACTCTAAGGACTCTCCTAATAAGTTGTACTAAGTAAAAAACAAAGGAGATATCAGGATGCTGCTCCATCCCTTCTGTGCAAATTGCCAGTCTAGCCTATCCTGGCACTGGAAGAAGAGTTAAAAATAAACTGATTGAGGTCCCAACCCTGGGGGTTTAAGCCCTGCTCCTTTCTCCTATGAACCTTGCCTGGGCAAAGAAGTGAGAGTCTGATCCTACCCCTTCCCCCTGAAAACTCAGTCTGGCCTTCTTGGAATGGAGGCCAAGCCAGGCCCCATCCCTTCTCTGAAGAAGAGCCAAGCACAGGTTTTTCAGGTATGGAGGAATTAGTAAGGATCTGGCCACCCACATGGAGATCAGCCCTTTCCCTTCCTCTTAGCAACATGCCATGCAAGCATTCCACACTTCTGGGAGGAGTGGCACTTAAGCTCCCTGCCTTAACCTGGGACCAAACTGAACTGACCTAGGAGGGCTCAGAGTTGATCTTGCTTTTGGGAAAGTGGGCAGCTTTTGAAATTTTCTGCATTAACTTCCCAGACGTAGATCTCAAGTGAGACTTAAGACTCACCCTAGGGCAAAGTCCTGCCTTCTTCCTTGAGTGGCAGCGTGGGAGGTAATGGAGTTTTAAGTGGGGATCCATTCTAGATGCCACAAACCAATTGATAGAAACGGGTCTTGCTGGGGAATTCCTCAGCCCAAGAGAATGTAGGTTCTCTCCTATAAGGCAGGAGCTTAGAAGAAGGATTGCAAAAGCATATTGTATTTTATCATTTGTTTATGTGATTTTTTTATTGACCACCCTAACCTCTGGCCCCCACCCAGTTCTCCATTTGGAGCAATCACCCTGGTTCAGAGTTATTAAGAGACACTCCCCACCCATCCTGGCCTCTCCCGCCACTTACACCCAAGGAGGGTGTACTGAGGGGTCTGTAGGTTTGTGAATAAGATAATAAATGCTAGGCGTGTTTGATGCGCTTTTAACTTTGGCAAAGAGTCTCCTGTCCTTATTTTTGACTGTGCAGTGAACAGGACCCATGCCAGCCAAGCAGGATAAAAATTACTGGAAGAAACAGATTTCTGAGAGATAGATAAAGTGATTTAAATAGAGAGCTTGGAAGAAAACCACCAGCAAGCACAAGCAATCAGACCTTTTAAGGGCCTGCCAGGCATCAGTGAAGCTGCTGCCATTGATTGCTTCACCTGATTTATGTCCCTGAGGAATGTTGGTTTGGAGCTCTGCTGTGTGTTCCCATTTCCTGTTTAGAGAAGCTCAGGAACAGAATTTAAGTACCTGTTCTGAAGATAGGCAAGTGGTAAATAGCTGAAACACTCAATGGTAAAGTTAGTCTGGCAAGTTCACTTTTTTCGGCTGTGCTGATGATAGAACCTAGGGCCTCAGGCATGCATGCTAGGTGAGAGCTCTACCATGAGCTACATTCCCCACCCCTGAATGCTATTTTTTTAAATCTGGTACCAGGGTTTGAACTTGATGCCTTGTGATTATTGGCTAGTTTACAGAGCTGGCATTCTACCACTTGAACCATGCCTCCAGGCTGGTATTTATTCATATTATTTATGTGTGCCAACATTGGGGCTTGAACTTGACCTGGGCACTGTCCTTTAGTTTTTCAGTCAAGGCTAGTGCTCAACTACTTGAGCCACACTCCATTTCTAGCTTGGGGTGGGAGGGGAGGAGTTCCTTAGATGTAAGAATCTCATGGACTTTACTACCTTGGCTGGCTTTAAACCCAGTTCCTCAGATCTCAGTCTCCTGAGTAGCTAGGACTGCAAGTGTGAGCCACTGGTGCCTGACCAAATTTGTATGTGTATGTTGGTAGTGGGGCTTGAACACAAGGGCCTTTTGATCTCACTTGGTTTTTTTGGGGGGGAGGGTTGTTTTTGTTTTTGTTTTTTTGGTCTGGCATGGGGCTTAAGCTTGGAATGGGCACTGTCCCTCAGCTCTTCAGCTCAAGGATAGCACTCTACCACTTGACCACAGTGCCACTTCTGGTTTTCTGGTGGTTTATTGGCGATAAGTCTCACAGACTATCCTGTCCAGGCTGGCTCAGAACTGTGATCTCAGCCTCCTGAGTAGCTAGGAATACAGGCAAGAGCCATTGGCGCCCGGCTTCACTTGGCTTTTTTCTTTCAAGTCTGGTGCTCTACCATTTGAGCTATACTTCCACTGGCTGTTAGTCTTAATCCTCCAGATCTCATCATCCTGAATAGTTAGGATTACAGGTGTGAGGCACTGGTGCCAGGCTTTTTGTTGCCACCTGAGGCTTAAACTCAGGACCTGGGCACTGTCTCTGAGAGGCTAACACTCTACCACGTGAGCCACAGCACCACATCCGGGTTTTTCTGTTTATGTCGTACTGAGTAATTGAACCCAGGGCTTCATGCATGCTAGGCAAGAATTCTACCACTGAGCCACATTCCCAGCCCCCATGCTAACTTTGAAACTGTTAAAGAAGTAAATGAGCCAGGCACAGGTGGCTCACGCCTGTCATCCTAGCTACTCAGGAGGATGAGATCTGGGGATCATGTTTCAAAGCCAACCTGGGCAGGAAAGTCCATGAGACTCTTATCTCGAAGAGCACTGTGGCTCAAGTGGTAGAGTGCTCTCCTTGAGCTGAAGAGCTAAGGGACAGCACCCAGAACCAGAGTTCAAGCCCCATGACTGACAAAAATAAAAATAAGAAAAAGAAGCCAAGCACTGGTGGCTCATGCCTATAATCTGCCTACTCAAGGAGGCTGGGATCTGAGAACTGGTGTTCGAAGCCAGCCTGGGCAGGAAAATCCATGAACCTCTTACCCGTAGTCAAAGAAAAAGCTGAAAGTGGTACTGTAACTCAAGTGGCAGAGTGCTAGCCTTGAGCAAAAGGAGCCCAGGAACAGAACATAGGCCCAGAGTTTAAGCTCCAGGACCAGAAAAAAAAAGGAAATTGGTCTGGGAAGGTGGCTCAGTGGTAGAGCGCTTGCCTTGCATGCCTGAGGCCCTGGGTTCAATTCCTTAGCACCACATAAGCAAAAAAAAAAATGGCCATCTGGAGACAACACATGTTTTCAAGGTAGTGGAAAGAGCAAAAACAAAAAACAAAGTGCCAGGAATGTCGGTTCATGCCTACAAACCCAGCACTAGGGAGGTTGAGGCAGGTTGAGGCACTAGATTAAGGCCAACCTGGGCTACAGAGTGAAACCCTGTATCAAAACAGTGATGAAATCCCCATGGTTGGGAAGATAGAGCTCAGTGGTAGAGTACTTGCCTAGTGTGTTCAAGGTCTTGAGTTTTGATTCCCAGCAAATAACACAACATACAACACAATACAACATAATAGAGGAATAGGAAAGCAATTCAAATTTAGGTCAAGAAGAGCAAATACAAGTAACTTATTGAATGCTGAGAACAATATTTCTTGGAATTTCTCACCCACTCTGACCACAGAACAAGCATGAGGTCTAATCATTGCATCTTTCCTACTAAGACTGTAACCCTTACATCACCAAGCCCAACCTCTGGGTGACAGGACAGAACTTAGTCACTGCCATTTCCCCACTGGAATGTGACCTCTGAAAATTGTGACCAATCCTGATTCTCCACCATGAAACTACAATCCCAGTATTTGGGAGGCTGATGCAAGAAGATCCCAAGTTCAAGATCAGACTGGGCTATATAGCAAGACTTAGTCCTAAAACAAAAAGATCACTATATACATTGTTGCAAGTCTTAGCAAAATGCTAAGACAGTGTTGATGCAAAAAAAAAAAAAAAAACTGGAACATTTAGATCAAGTCCTTTATGGTTTTAAATCCCCAGGAGTCCAAGTTAGGAGAGAGTGAGTAAGGGGTGACATCATGGGGCTGGGAAGGTGGCTCAGTGGTAAAGTGTTTGCTTTGCATGCATGAGGCCCTGGGTTCAATTCCTCAGCACCACATAAGCAAAAAGAAAAAAGCCGGAAATGGTGGTGTGGCTCAAGTGGTAGAGTGCTAGCCTTGAGCTGAAGAGCTGAGGGACAGTGCCCAGGCTCAGAGTTCAGGCCCCACGGCCAGACCCCCCCCAAAAAAATGTACTCATGACCTGACTAATGTAACTATAACCCCTCTGTATATCACCTTTGTAATAGCAAAAAAAACAATTAACTATGAGTCCAAGGACATAGAGGAGTAAAACACAAAGATTTTTTTTTTTTTTTTTTTTTTTTTTTTAAATTTTATTTTATTTTATTTGAGAACATACTGTACAGAGGGGTTACAATTACATGGGCAGGATAATGCATACATTTCTTACCAAGCATTGCATCCTCCTCCTTTGTTTACCCTTCACCTCCCTTCCCAGCCTCCCCCCTCCCTCCCACCCAATCATACCCCCCCTCCCCCCCCCCCCCCCAACCGACATTGTAAAGCTGGTTTTGACATGACATTTTGTACTTCTCATTGTTGCAACAGGTCCACCTGAATCCTTAAACGACTTGTTTGTCCCCGTCTCCTCCACATGTTATACTGACATCAAATATAGTGAAAGCAGGGGTTACAAAAACACAAAGATTTTTTAAGAAGATAAACAGCCAGGTGCTGGTGGCTCATGCCTGTAATCCTAGCTACTCGAGGCTGAGATCTGAGGATAGGGGTTCAAAGCCAGCCTGGACAGGAAAGTTGGTGAGATTCGTATCTCCAATTAACCACCAGAAAACCAGCAGTGGCACTGTGGCTCAAGTGGTAGAGCGCTAGCCTTGAGCTGAAGAGCTAAGGGACAGCGCCCAGGCTCAGAGTTCAAGTCCCACAACTGACAAAAAAACAATGTATACCCTACAAAATTTAAAAAAGTGAGGGAAGGGGTGGGTTGGAAGGGATGGGTAAAATGTAGAACGGGGTGACATTGTTCAAGAGGCATTGAATTGAATGGGCAAGTCCTTTGTACAGCTACTTAAAGATAACAAAAAATGTAAAAAAAAAAAAAAAAGATAAGCTGAGCCAGGTGCTGGTGGCTCATGCCTGTAACTCTAGCTATGCAGGAAGCTGAGATCTGAGGATCAAAGTTCAAAGCCCATCCTGGGGAAGGAAAAGTCCAGGAGACTCTTTTTTTTTTTTTTTTGTCGGTCGTGGGGCTTGAACTCTGGGCCTGGGCGCTGTCCCTCAGCTCTTCAGCTCAAGGCGAGCGCTCTACCACTTGAGCTACAGCGCCACTTCCCGTTTTCTGGTGGTTTATTGGAGATAGGAGTCTCACGGTCTCTCCTGCCCGGGCTGGCTTTGAACCGCGATTCTCAGATCTCAGCCTCCTGAGTAGCTAGGATTACAGGCGTGAGCCACCAGCGCCCAGCTCCAGGAGACTCTTATATACAATTAACCACCAGAAAACTGGAAGTAAGGCTGTGGCTCAAAGTGGTAGAGTACTTGCCTTGAGCAAAAGAGCTCAGAAAATTGTGCCCAGGCCCTGAGTTGAGTTCAAGCCCCACAACTGACAAAAACAAAAGGAAGAAAGTATTCTAAGATGGAGGGAAAGGAATTGGGGAGTGGGACAGAGAGGGTAAGTTTGACCAAGATAAAACTCTCATTACTTTTCTGCTGAGGCTAGATTTGAACTGTGCTCCTCATATCTCAGCCTCCTGAAAGGCTAGGATTACAGATATGAGCCACTGACTTTGACTGTTTGGGTCTTCTTGTTGAACTGATTTATGAATTTTTCTAAGGGCATTCATATCCAAATTTGGTAGTAGCTTTGAGGAATGTTTTGACAATTCAAGTCACAATGTTGTCCCAGAAAATAAGTTTCTTTAAACTGAAGTTTATCAAACATGATTTCAGGGACTGAGGCAGTAACAATGTGGTAAAGTGCTTACTTAGCATATACAAGTGTATTTCATCCCTGGCATCACAAGGAAACAAAACACACACTTATGGGGCAGGGAATGTGGCTTAGTAGTAGAGTGCTTGCCTGGCATGCATGAAGACCTGGGTTTGATTCCTCAGTACCACAGAAACAGAAAAAGCCAGA